AAGATGCTGTCCAAGGAGGAGCAGCCCTGGTGGCACAGTGGTTACACATTGGGCTAGTAATTGCAAGGCCAGTAGTTTGAAACCACCAGTTGTTTCTCAGGAGAAAGATAGGGCTTTCTACTACCATAAAGAGTTATAGTCTCAGAAACTCATAGGGACAGTTCGACTTGATGGCAGCAAGCTTGGTTTTTCAGTTTGGTCCAACAAACTTAGGAGGGTTGTTTGCTCAGAAACAGTGGGGGCAGTGGGAATGGCCGCAAGGGATCCTTTCAGAAACACTGGACTGCCCACAAATAGAACATGAAAATACTTCCTATCAAGGAGAGGTAGAAACTGAAATACCCACTGGTTCGTCTCTGGTAAACTAGCGTCAAATGAATGGTCAGTTTGAACTTCCCCAGTTTGCATATGTGACGTGCACAGCAGCATTTGGTTAATAACAAACATGCACGCCTGAGTCCAGACTGGCCCAAATTAGATAGTGCCCTAGAGGTATAGCCCCGGCCCTGTATCTGTTCTCACCTACCCTACCTATCCATTGTATCTTCAGTTACTTAAGTTGTAGAGTTAAAGCAGCTCAAACTTATGGTCTCTTGTGTTGCTTTAAACATCCTCAAACTATGAAGATGAGGAAGGCAAGGATTTCGAGGACTTAACAGTACCCTCAGGGTAGGTACCCTCAGGTATTTCTCTTCTGATCATGTGCTGGGAAAGCTGCTCCTAACAAGACCTGTTTCTGCTAAAGGCCACATTCTTCAGGAACTGCTCATGTGATAACCTAAAATATCCACAAAAAACCTGTTGTAAATGCTTTCTTGATGCAAATGTAAACAAGTCCCCCAATATAACTAGAGGACCAAAGGAAATGCTCACCTTGTGCCCAGGGAGAGCACCAAATGTATATGAGCCAACTGTGTGTGGATAATGCTCACTCACCCAGTGCCAAGAGAGTGGCCCCAAATGTACACGGGGTTGTCACTGCTTCTTGCTTTGATCCAGTCAAAAACGTGGAGTGCATCGTAAGTCATGCCTCGCTCGGACGGTGTTCCTGCGGAGTCACCCCACCCTGGAGAGGAGTACAGGAAGAAGTGAGACCAGGCTCTTAAGCTGACACATTCGACAAACACAGTATTGGAGCCCAGAAACTGAAGCTCCTTTGCAGCTGACAGGCCCTACTGGCACAAGCAGAAGTCTGAGTTCACAGCCATGCTATTGGTCACCTATTAGTCTTGGCAGAGTAAGCAGTGGAGAGAGGTCTGGCCGTCCCTCAAGTCAGCTCTGTGTCATTCCTTCCAGCACCACTGAGGGCAGGTGGTGGTGGTGGTGGTGGTAATGGCCATTACCCACCTCACACTAGCTCCTTGATCACCTGCTTGCTGACAAACTCAAGGTCTCCTTAGTGGTGACTCTATATTCATGGGTTGTAAATTTGGTTTACAAAGAGTCAAGTCAACAAACGACCTCCCAGAAATCTCATACCTAGCCTAGTGCAAACCCTGGTTAGGGATCTTGCCCACAGGTAAGAAAATCTGAAAAGGCCAAGTCCAAAAGGCTTTCCCTCTTTCCTGAGGGGCAAACTACCCTCTTGCTCTTCCAATTGAGGGCCCAGAAGTTCCAGGTATCAATATCCAAAGACCTAAGTAAGGAGGCTTCTAAAAGGCATTCATCTATCTCTGCCACCTCCTTCCCCTCAATATAATCCCAAAAGTCAGTGAACCATATCATAATGATTGCTGTGAGATGGGGCATCCATACTCTATCCCAAGACCCCAGAAAGTTACTCACATTGTACAGACAGGGGCAGTCCCATCTGAACTCAAGACCCCTGCCGATTGCAGATTTGAACAGACTTGATCCCAAGATGACTGCCAGCCACTGACTGGTGTTCTTCAACCTCCTAGCACTTAGTCAGACCTTAGTGATGGCCAGCCCAGGATGAGGTATCTAATAGGACCCTATGCAGGCAATGGAAGCAAAACCGTTTCCCCACCTATAAGTTCAGGCTGTGCTTACAGAAGAAGGGAATATTTCATGGTTTAAATTCAAGAAAGGTATTGTCAGGGTTGTACCCTGTCACCATACGTATTCCATCTGTGTGCCCAGCAAAGAAGCTGGTTTAGATGAAGAAGAATGTAGTATCAGGATCTGAAGGCGGCTTATTAACCACCTTCCATAGCAGATGACACAACCTTGCTTGCTGAAAGTGAAGGCTTGAAGCACTTGTTGAAGATCAAGGATTATAGCTGAGATAGTTTATTGTGCCAGCCTGGCCGATAAACACAAGTCGGATTAACTGAAGGGCAGAGATAAATGGCGTGGTGAGCCTTGCCTTTCTTGTCTCTCGCTCTGTGATCATCGGACCAGTGTGCGACTGCCTTGCTTGTTCTGTGCCTCAATTTAAAAGCTACACTACCTGTGGGATGCCTAGCCTGTGGACTGTGTCACTGTAAGTTGAGGTCCCTTTAAGACATCTCTGGAGCTGGAGACTGGCGGTTGGTGACCTGCCTTGTGATTGGCTGCTGTGCTGACATAGCCTAACTCTCTCTATAAATAGAGGAAGATCTGGCAGCAGACTAAACTTGAAGGACTGCTAGTCTCTCACAACTCTCTCTCCCGGGAGTGAGTTTCACTAAGCCATTTGTAGTGCTTTCTAATTTAACTGTTTATTTCTTGTATTATATATTTATCTGTATATGATTTAACAGTTCATTTCTTGTTATTTATCTAATTATCTTTATAAATAAATATATTAAATTATCAGCAATTTGATTTTCTCTCTCTAGAGAACCCTGTCTAATACAATAGCCTTCAGCATAGATAACAAACTCAGTGAAAGACCAAGATCCTCACAACTGGACCAACAGGTAACATCATGATAAATAGAGTACAGGTTGAAGTTATCAAGGATTTTGTCTTGCGTGGATCCATAATCAATGCTCATAAAAGCAGCAGTCAAGAGATCAAACAACGTATTGCATTGGGTAAATCTGTTGCACAAGACCTCTCTAAAAGAGTTGAAAAAGCAAAGATGTTACTTTAAGGACTAAGGTGTGCCTGGCCCAAGTCATAATATTTTTAATCACCTCATATGCTGCATGTGAAAGTTGGACATTACATGAGGGAAACCAAAGCAGAATCAATGCATTTATTTTATAGTACTGACAAAGAGTGTTACAAGTACCATGGACTGCCAAAAAACAAAAGCCGAAATGTCTTAGAGGAGTATAGCCAGAATGCTCCTTATTCTAGCAAGATGGCGAAATTTGGTCTCACATTCTTGAATATGTTACCAGGTGAAGGACATGATGCTTGTTAAAGAAGAGGGGCAGTGAAAAAGAGGAAGAACCTTGACAAGATGGATTGACAGTGATTACAATGATGGGCTCAAACAAGAGCAATTGTGAGGATGACACAGGATCCGCCAACAGTGATTTTTTCTGTTGTCATACGGGGTCACTATGTGTTAAAGTCAACTCGATGGCACTTAACAACAACAATGAACTCTGATCACCCTAGATACCCTGGATGAGGACCTGTAAGGCTTCCAAGAGCAGCGGACCCCTACTAGGCAAAAGCTGATCCCGACTGGTCTACCCAGCTACTATCCAGCTCCAGGCAGTTAAGATGCTCCAGAGGGAAAACTAAATGAAACAATATTGTAGCTCAAAGGAATTCTGATTTCTGACACAGGAAGGGTAAAACTCAAACTCACTGCTAACAAGACAATTCTGACTCATGGTGGCCCCGTGAGTTTCCAAGACTATAAATTTTCACAGGAGTAGAAAGCCTCATTTTTTTCCCAAAGAGTGGCTAATGGTTTTGAACTGCTGACCAAAGTGTCAGCAGTTGGATTAGTAATCCAACATATAACCCGTACTCCACCAGGGCTCCCTCAGAAAGGGAATGTACCATGGTTTCACTAGAAAGTACAATTAGCATCTCATTTACATAAGAAAGGAAAGCCAAACATTACATTACTAACTTCCCAAGCATTAATCCCAAGGGCTTCCCTATTTAGCCCTGAGTTTCCAAGAAAGATCGGGTACAATGGTCATTTTTAGTAGCTTGTTAGTAAGTCATCATCAAATGATCCGAAAACACAGGGCTTAGATAGAGCCGGTTCTGCTGCATAAGTAAACACATAGGGTCTGTGCACAGAGAGGTTCCCCTGGCATTTTGGTTAGCAGGGAGGTAGAGGAGATAGGTAGAGGACATGCCGGCAGAGACAGACTCAATGTCACAGAGAGAGACAGTCTGAGGCACTGACACAGAGGCACACAGAGACAGGTAGAGACACAGAGACAGAGGAGCACAGACACAGGTGCAGAGTTGCAGAATCACAGAGACAAAGGCAGAGCAAGGACTATAGAAGGGATAGAGTGAGGAGTAGGGAACACAAGATAAAGGAAAAAGGAGAGGCTACAGCCGACTGGCAGGGTTGAGCCTCCTGGTAGTTCCATCTTAGTCCATTGAAGGATGTTCATAAAGCATCCGTCTCCCAGTGATACACCTATGGATGTGAGAAGTGATGTCATGTCCCCAAGAGTTTCTTATATTGGTTAAGATATGCAAAGACTACATAAGAATGGAAAAGAAAGTACTAGAAGCTAACTGTAGAATTCCACTGCTTGACAGAAATACATGGAGCAGAACAGGGAAGACTAGCCCCTTTTTATCTTATGGCTTGTAGCACGCAGTTATGGAGAGCATGAACAAGAGAGGGTGAACCACTTTCTAACTCCCCCTCCACTTGAGTTTTTGCCCAGTCTAGAACTAGAGAGAATCACCCATGTGGTAGGCAGAATAATGACCACCAAAACATGTTCACATCACATAAAAAGGCAGATTTAGTTGAAGACGGAATTAAGTTTATCCATCTGCTGGCCTTGAGATGGGGAGAGTATTCTGGGGAGGAGGCAGGTGAGTCAGTCAGAGTGAAGCAGTATGAGGAAGATGCAACCACCATTGGAA